TATAATTATTTAGTATATTATTTATTCTAATAGAATGTTTTTATTATAATTATTTAAAAAAAATGATTGCCAGATTCAAAATGTGATTAAGATTGATTAGTCTCTGGTAGTATTCACATGGATATTACACATGAATAATTACATGCTCTCTCATCATGTCACAGCTTATGTAGCCACACCGTCAGAGGCTGATGCAGGGAAGCATACAGGCTGTTATTTCAAATCACAGAGCCTACCCTAAATTTCTTCCACATTGTTGAAATGTTTTGGGTTTTAATTGCAAGTGGTAGAACTGAGAGATTTCTTTTCATCTGGATCTTCTAATCTGTGAATGTAAAAATTCCTGCTAACGCCTGCAGGAGGTGTGATAGGAGTCGATAGGGATCTGTTATTTCAGAGGTTTTATTTCAGCTGAAAGATGCCCTTGAGAGTTGCACTTTGGCAAAAGCCTCTAGTCCAGCCAGTATATGGTGCTGGGCACCATAGCAAAAGGTAATCCTTGTTACATTACCCTTGACCTTACCGACTTGGGAGGAAAGCTCAGAAGAGCTGGATTAGAGGTGAAGCGTACTCACCTCAGCTGTGTTTCTGCATCAGTCACTTTGCAAGTGTATGTCCAGTTTGTTCAGAAATGGAAGACAGGTGTCTTGTTTTGGTCTCTGCCAGCCCAGGGTGGGTGCAGGTTTGTGGAGAGGGGAGAGGAGGGAGACGGAAGCTCCCTGCACAGGGACAAAACCTGCAGAAGATGAGAACAGTCTGAAACACAACCAGTTTAAAATGGCATTCAAACTTGTCAAAATATTCCTTCCTCTCCCAGGAGTCAGCAATCGAGCTCATATTTGCTGCTTTTTTCACTACGGCTAGCGCGAGCACCTCTCTGATCCTCCTGCTACTGAAGCATCCCCCAGTGATTGAAAAAATAAGGCAGGAGCTGCTGTCCCATGAGATGTACCAGCAGTGTGAGCACTGCCCTGCGGGACACTGTCTGGACACCCTTAGTACCCAGAGCAGGGGCAGCAAGGAGCCACTTACCTACCCCATGGCCAAAGATGCTCCTAAGGATCAGAGCCAGCCCCCAGGTCCAACAGAGGCAGGTTCCCATCAGCCCTGTGCCCCTCCAGAGCTCACCTTCCCCCAGAGCAGTCCCTGCACTGGTTCCCAGCTCCAGGCACCGCCAAGGCAGAGCTGTCGCCACCCCTCGGACATCAGCCTGGAGAAGCTGAGCCGCCTGCGCTACCTGGACTGTGTGATTAAGGAGGTGCTGCGGGTGCTGCCCCCAGTCTCCGGAGGCTACAGGACGGCACTGCAGACTTTCGAGCTAGATGTAAGTGCCTCGCACGCCAGCGGGCTGCTGGGGAGCTGCTACCTGCCGCTCCCTGCAAGCTCCCTGTGTCGGGCACAGAGGTGGTGCTTGGCAGTGCAGCACAGGGGAAGGTGGCACCCAGCAACCTCTGTGGGTCCTAGCTGGGCCGGGGAGAAAAGGAGCTGTGGAGCAGATGGGCAATATGGTGGGGCTGTTCCCAGATACCCTCTGCTCACTCTCCACAGTCACAGCTGGCTGCAAAGGTATTAATGCTCCTGTCCTCCCCTATTTTTTTCTGCAGGGCTACCAGATCCCCAAAGGCTGGAGTGTCATGTACAGCATCCGTGACACACATGAGACAGCAGCCGTCTACCAGAGTCCCCCCAGTGGCTTTGACCCAGACCGCTTTAGTGCCTCCCGGATGGAGACTGCAGGCCGCTTCCACTACATCCCCTTTGGTGGTGGGGCACGGAGCTGCATTGGCAAGGAGCTGGCACAGGCCATCCTCAAACTGCTGGCCATCGAGCTGGTCAGCACGGCCCGCTGGGAGCTGGCCACCCCCAGCTACCCTGCCATGCAGACCGTGCCCATCGTGCACCCTGTCGATGATGGGCTGCAGCTCTATTTCCACCCCCTGCAGCCCAGCCACGGCAGAGAGGGTTGAGCCAGGGCTATGCTGCCCCCCTCAGCCCTGGTGTTGATGCCCCTCCATGGTTGCCAGGGGCAGGTCTCTGCTGCTCCCATGGCACTGGGTCACTGCAGAGCAAAACCCCAAAGGTCTTTTTATTTTTCCACTCCTGGTGTGCAAGCCGGTAGGGAAGGCCCTGCAGAATCCTACCTCTGAGCACCAAGTGGGGACTCAGCCCCAGCCCAGGGGCAAAATCCAATGAAGCTGCTGGCAGACAGCATCCCCCATAGGTGCTCAGCCAACCCCATCCCCACACAGGTCTCCAGCCACTGGGGATAGGGGGCAAAATTCCCAGCCTCACAGCCAAGACTCACAGAGCTTTTCTGTCACGGGGTTATCTCCTGGATGTGTATAGTAGAGGCAGGGCCAACATCCTGCAGTGTAGCTTTTTAGGTGTAAATGGAGGAAAGATGTGGCAGCTCTGCGGAAAAACATAAGCCAGGGCTGCCCAATCCTCAGAACCAGTTCTAGCTAGAATAATAGGGTGAAAAGTGGTTTTTATTGTAAATATTTAATCTCATTCCTGCACTTCCCATTAAATCTGGAACAGAGAGGACATGTCTCATTCACCCAGTAGTAGTAGTGATGTATGTTGTGCCTCAGCACTGTGCTGCTGCTCAGAGTCTGCCATGAAGCCCCCTTCTGGGGTCCGTTCAGGATGCACTCCCCAGCCACAGCCTGACTGAGGGATCAGACTGAAGCAGGGGTTGGGGCTTTGGGAAATAAACACTTGGAAAAGGGACATTTCTGAGTATGTTTGATTTGTGGCAGAAAGTCCTCTGTTCCTGATGGTGCTGTTTCACACTGCAGAGGGAGCATCTGCAAAGTGACACAGGCCCCATGGTGGCTGGCTGGCCAGGCTGACCATGTCAGCTCCTGCAGTCTGGCTCTGCCAGGGAAAGTGCAAGGGCAGCAGCTCTGTGGGTCCATCCACTGTTAGTACCTGGGGCTAAGCCTGGATGCTGAAGGCACCTTTATAAGTGGCATTTGAGTACCACTTGCCTCACTGAGACACGGCATATTTCTCTACCATCTAAAATGAAGTGAGTCCTGTTGCTTGTGTGCTGAGGACAGAGCTGGGCTCAGGTCCCTGCCCCACTGCAATGTGTTAATAATCTCCTTTCAGCTTCACCTCTGCTCCCCACTGTCACACATCCTGCATGGAAGCAGTGGGGGAAAATGTACACCTTGTTCTTCCAGTGTGTTTTGGGCTTCTTGGTACAGTGTGTATTGTGTGAAAAACCAGCAGCAGCTCAACCTGTGAGGGCAGAGAAGTGGCATGAGGACAGCATTCCTCTGGAAATGCTCTGGGGAGCTGCCCTGTTCCCTGAGTCTCTGTTATTGCCCTGCTTCAATGCAAGGCTACAAACGCTCTTGACTTGGCCAGGCCCCCTTTCACATCCATGCTCGAGCTGGTGGCGTGGCCTGCCGTTAGGTGTCAGAGGGCTGCGCAGCCAGCATAGCGCTACCTGGGGCAGAAATGTGGCTCCCAAATGTGACAGGTCAAATCTGGAAGAGGTTGAACTGCAGAGCTGAGTTAAGCGCTGTTGGCAGGTCGACCTCGTAGTGAACCAGAGCCTCTGCCCCTCCTGACCTTGTCCTGAAAGGTGAATCTTTCTGGCTATCAGAGGTGAAATCAGTAGGTGGTGGCTGCAAGTGACAATGACTAACTTTAATTAGCAGGAGTTGCTGGCGTGGCTGTGACCCGCGGGCAACGCAGGCTCCCACTGAG